GCCGCAAATTAAGGTTGCGGCACGTGTGCGGATATAATGACTGACGCCTCGTAATGAGCAGGCCATCATCAGCCAACCAGACGGGAGAAGCAGGGTTAGATCAGAAGAGTGTGGGGGTGGCTGGGTTCACAGGTCAGAGGTCAAGGTCTCCTCATGGGAGCAGGGTTTGGTTTAGATGGCAGGGGCAGCCCTAATATTAGGGGATGGGGTGACACAGGGGAATACAGGGGGGTACCCCAAAAGGGAATTGGCGTGTGTCGCAGCCAGCTGGGGTTAAGATATTATATAAAGGAATATTCATGCTCATTTCGGCTGTCAGAGAGAAACTGCCGCCAGATGGAAGACAGCTTGATTTATCTCCATTTGGTTGTTTGACCCTCTAACTGTGATGAGCTGCAAGGATATTACTTCAAATTCAGCACTGCACAACTTACAGGAAAATCAAAAACGCAGCTTTTAATAAAAGTAAAAACAAAACGTGAACGACCTCATCATTTATAAAGGCATTAGAGAGATCAGCAAAATATCTGTTTTTCTGATGTTCCCACTCCACAAACGTTTCCAAACAAGTGTTGAGCGTGCATGTACGTGCAGACGTTATCAAATGAGGACAGCTGCGTCGGCCATTTTAGCTGTGCATTTGTGTTTTTGTGTCTATCGGCACACGCCTGAGTTGCCCGTTCACTGACGCAGCATCAGCAAGCCCACAGCATAAATACTGCATGGCCTCAAAAAATAGAGAGGATGAAGGCACTGAGGGAAGAGGAAGTACAGGGGAGGAAAAGGGATCAGGAGGAAACAACAAGGAGGGTAGGAAAGCATAGGTTGTTAAGATGAAGGGTGGCTGGGAGGGGGTGGGGTGTTGAAGAAAGGGATGGAGGAGCAGGGAAGATGGGGGGAAAGGAGGACGAAGACCAGGAGGAGATAGTGACTAAGAGATAAAAGAGGAGTGGATGTGAGCGTGTTCGTGTGATGAGCGGATGGCCTGAGGGAGCGGCCGAGTCAGCGTGCCGCTCTGCGGATGTACCGAAGGGGCTCCGGGCCGTTTGCTTATTCACTCGCCCCTTTCACTCTGTTCGCTGCAAAGAGGACAAGGGTGGAGGGGGTGCAGGTGAACCCGACAAGGTGGGGGAGGATGGAAAATGTGCAAACATAATGAGAACAAAAAAACTGAGAACCAAAAAAGAAGAAAGCCAGGAAAAAAAGGGTGAGATACAAGACTATATGTGAAGCATTATAGAAGAGCAAAAGGGCAACAGAGAAAGGGAGAAGGGTTGCAACTCATGCAAAGATGCAATGACAGGATGACAGAGAGAAACTGTACAAAATGAACCATTTTCAGATGCTTATTCGCAAACTTTAAGAAAAACACTGAGGGAAACAGAACCTACATGCATCTAGATGTGAATTATTGCAGAGAAAATGTGTAGAAGTCCAAAAAAATATAAAGTAAGCCTATTAATCGGCCTTTTACTCACGTTTCTGTGCATGTGCATGAATAAGTTGGTTTAAGTGTAGCAATATACGTATGCTTTTCTAAATCAAATAATCTTTTATGCCATGATGACAAAAACTGGACTGATGTGACCCTTTGACACAAAAAAGCCACTTTGTTGAACATTTGTCTGTGCCTGAGAAGTGTGCATGAGCCCATGTGAAGGTACGCTGCTGAGGGCTTGTCAAAACAGACATAAGAAACTTATGATATGGAAGTGTGTAGAAGCGGGGAGTGGGGGTGGGGGTGTTTAGTGTCGGGTGGGGTGGGGGGGGTTTATGCAACATCCCAGGGAAGCCAGCGGATTGAGACTAGCGTTGCTGAATATGAAAAGAGGGCACACAGCAAAGGCTGCTGGGAGTTTCTGATTGGTTGCTAATGTTGCTATCCAGGCCGGGATTGGTGGAGCTGACGCAGACCGACATCACGTTGTCGGGACTAAACCCTTTTGAACTAAGGCAAAGCAGCAGAGGCACAGATATCAAAACACATATACCCACGCCCACGTGCACATGCATGCACACATTTGCAGCTACACATATAACATGCATCTAAATAAGTACCTATGCACAGTTTCAATCGCATGCCAACACTGATTATTAAATAAGCTTGGCCTCCGTGTTGATGCACATCAGGAGAAAACAGAATTCCTGATGCTCTTCAGCTTTTCCCCACATACCATCTCAACTGAATCTTCTCAGGTCAAAGCGGAAACTTCTTTAATTTCTTCATTCTCTTTTAAGCCCGGCTCTAAGGTGGACAGAATAAATTGGAGCTTAAGCATGCATGAAGGCACAGCCAGAGGGCCGCTTCCCACCACTCCACGCTACATTTGTCAAATCAGAAGAATTTCTACTGCACGTGAACCCCTGGATCTGAGAGCAGAGGAACGGCACGGATTCCTATTTAAGTCACGCATGAGGAGCTGAGCTTCTAGAAAAAATATTAGTACTTTTCGGAGTCTGTGGTGATTTTGCAATATGTCGGCTGGTTTTAACTGTGACCAACAAAACAGAATTAGCTGCCTGCTATTAATAAAACATGATATAAGACAGGGCAGTGTGATGTGTGAAATGTCTGCTTACTTTGGCCCCGCTGCCTCTGCCCCGTGGCATGTCAGCTCAACTCTGTCTGCGACTTTGCCTGTGGAAAGACGTGTCTCTTCCCTCGGCTACTGGGAACAGCGGACTAATCTCTTCTAATCAGGAGAATGTGGGTCTCAGATAAATGAAAAAAAAAAAAACTTTACATCTTCCCTGTCACTCGTCATAAACATACTAAACAACTGGTTAACTTACCGTAAATATGACGATGCAAAAAACACCCAAATGATTATTTCTATTTATTTCTGTAGTGCCTAGAAGATATCAGATCGCATGAACTTCTCTCATAATTGTCATAATTGAACCACAATGTGGTGTGAGAGACTAAGTTGAAGGAAAAAGATTGAGGGTTTTATAGTTTTTGTACAAAAAAAACACCTAAAAGGTGAGGCGAGCGTCTTATTTAACTCCCTCTGAGCGGTTTGGGTATGTTTCTACTAACTTCTCTCTCCTGAGACCAAACATCTTTACAGAAATGCTCTGGCTCATTTTAACCGGATGCAGAACGACTGAAAACATCAGGTTTGCCACAGATTTTCAGTTTGATTCAAATCTGGAATTTGACAGGGCCATTTTAACACAAAATTACGCTTTGATCTAAACAGGTGGTAGAGTTGAGATCAGTGCTGGTTTTTACAGGGAACTGTAACAGAATGATTGGACTGAAATGTTAAAAATCAGTGACCTCTGATCTAGTTTTGAATCTTTTCAGTTTAAACTGTGACAACCAACACTGATCTCTTGTATTCTATGCCCTGTATTCCTTCAATAACTGAAACAAAACAAGACGGCGGTAAGTCAGCTAAGAGCAACATATATGTCAGTGATGTGCAGACAGCCTGTAATAGACTCCATCGGACATTACTGCTGCAGCACAAAGAGGCATGTTTTAACTGTGACGTTTCGCTGTTAATTCCTTGGCAGCGGGAACCAAGGCTGGATGAAAATGGTGCTCCGTATTTACCACAAAAGGAAAAATAAACAGTAAAAAAAAAAAGACAATTCAATGAAAAATAGAGCGATGTGTTAAATCTCCCTCCAACCAGATCCACAGCGATGTCGTCAATCTCAAATTGGAAAATGAGAGCAAGTGTAAGGGTTTTGAAATGACCTAATTTTAATTCTGAATTAAAACAAAAATAAATAAGATCTTCTTTTAAAGCTGCCAGCAGAATTTCCTTTGCATCACTGGTCTCACCTGACCTATGTACCTTCTTTTATGTGTTTGCTGTGGTCCCAACATGGCTTGTGGAAAACTCTATGGATTTTTCGAACAACAGCTTTGTTCTTGCCAAGAATTAGAGTTCTGCTGCTGACACATTCTCCCGCCTGGGCTCTCTTGCTCCTCCTGACTTACCACTGGATGCTTCTCTGACTTGTAAAGCTGCTTTTCAGTAATGTTCTCTAAAATAAACCCTCTGAATCTGCACAGATAACATTATAAATATATAAATCTTGAAATCCACGCATCATTGTAGCTGAGTTTTACAGTCATGAACTGCTTTGTGGTGTTTTCTCATGAGAGCTTGAAGAAATAAATTGAATTTTGAGGTTGCAACATGATAAAATGTGCTAAAAGGTTTAAGAGACATGATTCCAAGGCGTTTCATGACAGGATCGGATCCGCGTCACCGCATGAGGCGCATGCTTCTCTTAAGGCTGAAGGTCGGTCCTATGAATCTTTGATCCGTCTCTCCTTGTCCCGCCCCTCCCTACATTCAATATGAGTGAGCAGAGTGCCACTTTGCTCGTTCCTGCCATCTCACACATGCACGCATGTATACACCCTCCATGTGTCCTCCTGGTGCATTAATGTTCTTACATCACCTCCTTCAGTGAGCACAGAAAACAAGAGAGCACCAGAGTCGAAGAGATGGAGAGATGGCTTTTAGTGGGGGATGGGTATGCTGTGCACGTGTGGGTGGCAAATATGTGGCAGGCTTCATAATAATGCAGCAATATGTATCATGAGTCAAACACTGAAATAAGGGAAAATATGCCTAAAAAGGTGAAGTTTTTTTACATCAGTTTGCCTCCTGGGACAAACAGACAAATCTAAGAGATTTGGATAAAAAAAAATTTGACTGATCCCTTTGACATCTTAGTATAATTTATTAACTAGCTTTTTTTTAAATAAAGTGCAGGCTGTGTAAATGCTAAGAAATACTTTAAAATTTTTTGCTTTAACGTGCACCACAGTGGCATGAACCACCATGGATGGCTGGGTCTCAGACACATTAACACTGTCTGGCATTGACTTACACCCATGAGACCTTCCCCCCCACCGCAACATGCACGAGCGCATGCCTGGGCATCATCCTTCCGCTCTAATACACTTTGTGCCCCCTTGGGATGAGTCCTTTTTGAGGGTGACTGGGGTTTGTTTGCCTGTGTGCTCCTACCTTGTGTAGGATCGTGGTTCTCCCAAAACTGTCTGAGGAGCTCCCCAAGGCTGATGTCTTGAGGGGAGAACACCACCCTCACCACCTCAGTGTGGCCTGTCAGACCTGAAAGGGAATTGATAATATGAATAGCTAAAAAAAATAAAGTGGTACTGATCTCAAACACAACTCAAACTACAATGTTCTCTTATCTTCAAGCATTGAATATATTTGATAAATGCAAAAAATTTAAGAAACGTTCAGGTTTAAAACCAGAAAGCAGAGACTAGGAGGATGCAGGGTGTATGGGTCAGTGAGTGCATGCACCACAGGTAGAAAACATTCAGGCTGAATCTACTATGAGCTGTGTTATTTCTCATGGCACCAGAGGAGAAACAGAGGGAGGTATATAGAGAGAGAGAACAAGAAGGAAAAGTAAAAGATGGAGCTTATGGTGGAGGTTGCCAAAAGCTCCCAGATACTCATTCCTGTTTGCAGCTGCCAGGATACTGAAGCTTCAGCGAGCTGCCTGCAGGCGTTTTCTAACTGAGGGCTGCTTTAGGTATCATATGTTTTCTACGTGAATCTGTGCATGTTTACAGCTGAATGGGTATTTTTACATTTCTTGACATAAACATATTTGATTAGTATACGAAGCATCAGTTCAAATCTTCTACTATTGTTCAGACCAGAGTAGATAATAAAACTCTATCACAATGCAGAATGATACAGTGCAGTTCCTATGAGATTGTTTAACCTACATACAAAACCAATTTCTGCATTGTTTATCTTCCATTTGCTAAGAACCCCGCAGGAAAAAAAAATCAATGACATGAAAATGAAAAAAATTAAGAAGACAATCTGCATATAATCGTCAAAAAAAAAGGTAAAACAGCTGCCTGCAAACAATTTAAATTTATTGGAAGTGTTAGTGCATTTTTGTACCGAAATAGCAGCATGTTAGCATGAAATAAAGCAACAAACTGCACAGGAGTGAGCTGATAACAGACTGTATAGCTGCAGAGACATCAACCATATCCGAAAGCAAAAAATTTTATTTGGTGAAAGAGCTGCTGTCAAGATCTTTTGAGGAAAAGGTGAGGGTGTGCCGACACTCTCGAAGCTTGTCGAACATGAAGGGGGGTGAAAGGCTGGGAAGCGACAGGGATCAGGACCACTAAAGCTGCCAGAGCTGCAGTGTTCTGTTAAAGGGCCATTCAACGCGTTAACAAATCAACAAATCAGCCTGTTCACCCTCTTCTCTTTTCACCTTAACTGCTCTCTTCCGCCAAAAATATGCAACACACCTCTGGACACAAATTAAAACCTGTAAAATCGACTTTGTTGAAACTGTTCTATTTTTTAAGGAAGGTGTAGAACTTTTACATCTTTTTCATATTCTGATTAAGTGGCCAGTTCATATATTCTGGCGTAGAGTAGCTCTCTAAAGTGTGTGTGAGGGGTGGGGGGCTGTTGAAGAAGTTGCAATTGCTTATGTTTATGACCCACCCACCCCTACAAAGTGTAAACTAAAAAAATGAAATGCTTCATATGCGATCAACCATCCTCTCCTGTCTCATGCTCATGTGAGCGTATCAGTCAGTGACTCAACAGCACTGCCTTGGTTTTCCTAGAAAGATTTTTTAACACTCGCTGTGATAAAGTGAACATTATTGAATTAGGTTTGAGCATTGATTGAATAGGAATATATTTATTTAAAAGGAATCTGCTTAATTTAATATGAATCGGTACTTCTATATCTATATTTTTGCAATAAACGGGATTTGTTTGTCGTTTAAAGTGGTTTAAATGGCGCCGGTGAGTTGTCACTATGGAAACATACAGAAAAGGAATTTGCTTATATATGCTTATATATATATGTAAACTGGTTCATGTTTTCACACCTAAAATATGTCTTAATTCAGTCAACTGGCGGCTCCAAAAACAAAAAAAGCTTCTATCACAGTTTATTTAATATCAAAGTCAGAAACTTCTTAATAACTGATACATTCCTTAACTCTATGTGTTATTTAGGAGTTTTAATGTGAACATTTTAATTAATGTAAATATTCACCTAATCAAAATGTGGTTAAAAAGGGATCAAGTTAAATTAACTCTGCAAAGATTAACTGGGAAATTTTCAGGCAGGCAGCTATGCAAATAAGCAGAGGGAAAAATGTGCCTGACAGAAAAATATCCAACCTCAAATGTATTTAGTAGTTTTAACATGTCAAAAGTGTACAGAAGTTTTTCTGTTTGTTTTTTTAGTTGCTCATCGACAGCTCCTGAGTCTGCCTCTTCGGCTGCTCACGCATGTCGCTTATAAAGCTGCAGTTTATGAAAAAATATATAGATTTATGAGGAGCAAAAGTTACTGTTAGCTTACTTAAATTACTTCCACATAAAGATCAACCAGATTCTTTTTTTAGTCTGTTCATTTAAGAATAGTGCAAACAATTTCAGCTGATGAATGCAGGAAAGCATCTCCCAAGTTTCTCTTCTGCCTTTACTCTTTATTTTTGTGAAATATTTTGTCTTTAGTTTATCTACTGTTCTGCAACAAAAAGATTAAATACATTCACATAATGCTGATAAAAAAGTTTTATTCCGATTTATTTATTTATTTATTTTCTCTGTTCAGTTGCTAAGCTAAGAAGGGTCGAAAAATATTTTCCTGAATATTAAAAAATGTTAATACCATAAACCTTTTCTGATCATTCATTATGTTTAATCTCATGCTGTTCTCAGCACTGGGAATTTAAATGCATCTTTATGCATAATTTGTGTAACTTCTTTTATACAACCAGTTTCTGTGTAATTAACACAGAGGTTCCATTTCTATCAGGCAGTGAATTGTCTTCCCAGCTGTAGATGTAAAATAGTCTACGGTGCCTCCAACATGTTTAACTGCTCAATGATTTTCAAAAAACAGTTAAAAACCTAGATGATATAAAACACTACAGTTAAGAGAAGGAACTTTGAACTCAGTGCAGAGTTCAGCTCTGGCCATGTGACGATACTTCCTGTGCAGTTTAAATATACTACAAACAGCCTTATCGTTGGCTCTATCATGTCACTCAGGTTCTTGGTAAAATCCTTTTTTTTCCAGCCACAGTTTTGCTTTCTGTATTACAAATATTTGGTGCATTAGACTGTGCTAGTCTTGTAAATTAGGTAAATTATTCTAATTTATAATAACAGCCCCTCCCTCTCTGACTGCACCTCAGCCTCCCCAGCTCCTGTCGGTCAGACCATCCATCTATCCCCTTGTCCTTCCTCTTCTTCCCCATCTATTCTGACAGTTCCATCAGCCCTCTCTTTCTGTCTGTCCTACCATGGCTGCTCTGACAGCTCCTCGGCCGCATGCAGTCGCAGTGTTCTGCTCCGTCATGGCCACTGGAGCGACACCTGCACGCTCAGCCGATGGACAGGACCAACACTTTTTTCTCCCTTCTTCCTCCCTTAGAAAGTTTTGTTTGTTTATTCCTTCACCTGCTGTATCACTTAGCTGCTGGTTTTTACTCATCCATCTCCACGTCTCTCCACAGATGACCGTCTTGTTTTTGAAAAGCTGGCTAAAGCGGCAACAGGGTTCTGCTACTGGTCTTCATGCACCCCATGTTGTTTCTGCACCTTGATTCCCTGCCTGTCTGCAGAGCAGACCCCCCTCAAAAAAGGTCCCAAACTAACAGCTTGAACAACACAAGTCGAACATCTTCATCTGCGGTAAATGTCCACTTCCTACATAAATCTATTTGATTTTTGGGATAACAAAGTAGGACATCTTTAACAATACATTTAAAAAAACGTAATCTGTTTCTGCAAATCACATTCTCTGGGAAAGAAGCCTGCGTATGGCGCCTTCAACACAGAAACCTCCGTTACTAAAAAAAACACCGCAATACAGCACAGCAGAGAGCAAAATCCTCACAAGTAGGTCATGTGGGGGTGGGGATGCTGGGGGGGTACAGCCCATCTGGAGCAGTGCATTTTGAGTAGTTGACTGCAGATGAAGGCAAGAACTGCGATGAGGGGGCTTTATTTAAAACAATCTTCCTCTGTATCCGTTTCCTTTTTCTTTAAATTGTCTTTAACCTTGACGTTCGCAGCATCAAATGTTCTGCCAACCTGTTTCCCTTCCTCGCAGGAAGGTAGAACGATCTGTTAACAGGAATCGCAGAGTGGGAGGTAATCGTAAGTGAAAAATGTGCAAAATAGAATACCTGTGCAGACTTCATTGTAGGTCGGGTTGGGTGTAAAGCCCCCGGCGAAGCCCACCTGGGTGGAGAAGACTCCTGGAAGCCGCCAGAACAGTTTCTCAGCTCCCCAGAAACAACCCATTCCTGCAAAGAGATGCATGCATAGTTAAGTCTTTCGCATTGTGTCAAACAGAGATCTTATTAATGCGGCAACAGATCTTCTTGCAGGGAAGTTTCAGATTTTAAATGCTGGTGATTGTGCCCCCTCACCAAACATGATGGTTTCCATGCCTTCTGGAAAAGGCTCCACAGTGGGATTCCCATTAACTGCATGCTTATCTGTAAGGCAAGACAGTGGAAAATATGGTATAAGATCACAATAATAAGGAAAACACAATACGTTTCATCATGCAAGTAAATTAGTTCGGATGCAGCTTGGAGTCGGCCTCACAGGCTTTCATTTAGTCACATCCTAACCCAGGCCATAGGATTGGAATCAGAGGCTTCTGTGCAGGATCACATTGAAGAAACTCACCATTGAGCTCCTCCCTGATTCTCCCTGCCGTCCTCTCTTTGGTATCTTTAACTTCTTATATTAAAGTGGTTGTCTTTAGTCTCTGTAGATGGCTGAAGCGCCCAGTCAAAGACGACACAGCTGGTTGTTCCCATTGAAACTCCTAACAACAGCTTAACGATGAAGCACAGCACGAAAGTATTCATACTCCTTAAGGTTGATTTTATTTTATTTTTTGCATAACAACCACAAACAGATTCATAAGATTGGTTTTGCAAAATTGTTGAGCTGGAAAGAAAATCATGTTCAGTTTGGATTTGTGTAATAAATAACATCTGGAATATGTGGATGCCTTTGCTCTGAGCCCCTCTTGATTCTGAGACTGCCTAAATGAAATCTAGTTTAACTATTAAATATTGAGTTTATCTAAAGTTGTTTGAGATCACTGAATGAATAACAATTAATAGATAAGTGGCAATTTTCTTAAAAAATTATTTTTTTTGTTTTTAATCAAGAAAGTCCTTTAATAACAGATTTAAGTTCAGTTTAGTTAAGTAATATTTTACAACATTTCATCCAAGGCCACTTTACAGAGACAGTTCAATCAAATCATAAAGACAGATCGGTTAAACTGTTTCAATCTAAGGAAACCCTGCTAATTTCTTTCAGTCATTCAAATTGTTATATTACCTATTAGATACTGATAGTAAAAAATAGCACATCATAATTCAACTGAAATATATATAAAAAATAATAATACTTGGTTTTGTAACCATCAAACTGATAAATATACATATACATTAATAAAAAAATAGACCAATAGAATTGAATATAGAATCAACCATGAACAGAAAGGTTAAAATCATAATTTTAGGAAAAAAACCATTAATTATAACAGAAATATTACTTTTATAATATTTTAAAGAGGGAATTGTGTTGTATTTGTATAATTTTTTTTAATTATTATCAACCTGTTAAATGTTTTTTTATTCTCTCTGCAAGTTTTTTTTTTTTACCTCACTCCAAAATCTAAAATCTGAAATAGAACAGTGCTTGTATAAAAAGGAGAAATCTCCTGTGGTAGCTACTTTTTTAACATGTTATTCTTGCTAAAAAAAGGTTAGCTGAATGTTTGCCACTCTAAAATAGTTTTATCAACTTGAATTAAGTCAAAAATGGCCCTTTGGATTGTGACGGTTGCAGAACCCGGGTCTAAGAGGTCATGATCACATAAACAGGTGTTTCATTTTTAATCTATTCAACCATTATTTGATAATAAATTGCTAATTTCTTTACCGAAATAATTCTCCTCTGCCGTTTCCCACAATCCATGTAGAGGATTAAAAAAACTTGTGCTGTGATGAGACTAAAACAGACTTGTAGGCCTACATATGAAATACGACATGGGGAGCAAATAAACACAGAAGCAAGGACAGGATGGTTAATCTGAGCTCTTGGGAGGAGGTTAAAAGCTAAATATAGCACAATCCTGGAGAGCCTGTTAGAAACGACAAAATATTTGAGGCTTTCATCTTTAAGCAGGACAATGACCCCAAGGCCGAGCAATGGAATAGCTTCAATCAAGGCATAGTCAAAGTTCATTTGGATAATTACCTTTGGAAGGCATTATTATGAAGCTGTAATCTAATGGACAGAAGACACGCATAATGGTGTCTCAGTTTCACCACTGTCAGGGTGGAAACAGCCAACAAGTGAAACAAAACAAAGAGCAGAAAGATTGCACTCCAGGGCCAACAGTGCAGCCTGAAATTAGAGTGCTAAAGAGCAAGTGTGTGTGTGTGTGTGTGTGTGTGTAGTCCTCAGATATGTCAGGAGGATTAAGGTTTAAGAAGACTGAGGTGACTTAGCGTGCAAATCTCCACTAAGCAAGACTGGTTTGTACTGCAACCACTAATAGTTGTCTCCAGATAAACAGGCCACAGCGTACACTAAGAGCTTAGCTATGTATCGGTAATGGATGCTTACTCCAAGTTCCATGAGGTGATCGCTTCCTGTCCGATTAAGTTGGGTTATGCGTGACACTGACCTGAACACTAACAATCACAAATCTGATGTGGACAGAATAGTCCATTTCCTATAGGGCTGGGATGATCCTTTACTGCAAGAACAGGCCAAAGACCATTAGCTCCCTGTGGTTTCCTTCAGACTTAAAGGAGATTATGATAAAGACGAACTGTATAGAAGCACTGAAAAGAAAATGTTTTCCCATGCTGGGACTCTAAAGATAAGGTCTTGTAAAGAAAAAGGGAAACAAGGGGATTCCGCAAGGCTTGAGCAGATAATACAGTTTTGTTGTATTGGGGTATTTTTTTATATTTTATGAAATAGTTTCGTTTCCTGTGCAGTAACAGACTGCAGGCACATAAAGGACTAAAATGTCACGGAGGCCTGGATGGCCCCAGGCAGCAGCTTCGTGGCCTCCTATTGAGCAGCAGTTCTTTTTTTTTTTTTTTTTTTTTAGAAGCAGGTTGTTTGGCGCTGCCAGGTCACGATCACAGGCACAGTCGGCTGCAGAATCAAAGCATTTCCATGTGACGGACATGTTAAATCCTCTAAGTCTCGTTAGATGGCTTAAAACAGAGGAAGAACACAAGAAATCTCTATCTTCTTCTACTATTCTCAACGTCTCCAAGCTCTTGCCCCCTGGAGTTGCCAAATGACTTTGAAAGGTAAAATGAGAGAGTGAGAGGGAGTTAAGTGTGAAATAAAAGAGTAGGAGAAGAAGAAAAAAAGAGTCGGAGGAGGAGGTACCTGTCTGCCAAAACAATAAGAGGAATAAATCGCCATTTAGAAGAAACAGATTCGAGATACAGTAAGGAAGTGAAAGACTCCCCTGGCTTTTAGAAAGCCAAACCTTCGGGCGTTTTATAAAAAAACAAGCAATAAAGAAATGATAAGTTAGCCAAGAACCTGTTGACATCACTTCCTCTCTCTTAAGCTCCCCTCCATCTTCACTTTTTCTCACACTACCTCACTTCACACGGTGTGCAATCTGCTGCACAACTGTTGGTGCACCGACTGCTGTACTAGGTTTTCTCCTATGGAGCAGCTGGCTGAGGTCCAGGTACCAGGTTAGTTTCTGTTATTGTGCTTGGTACAGCACACCTTCCCTTACATCAGACGAGCACCGACCTCCTTTTCTGCAATAATTACCCCATATGCATCAAGAAAAACACAGCTAAAGACCCTTACTACTCTGCCTTACTATGCCAGAAAAGACAAGAAAAGGAATTATTTAAAAACAGGCAGGGAGGGGGATGCCTGAGCTTACAAAAGAAGTTAACAGGCTGAAAATGTGGGAAGGGCTCATGAAAAGAATTTTTTTCCACTTTGAAAGGGATCCAGGCATAAGTTCTTTAGCACACCTTTGTTTTTGCAGATATCTGAAAAGGACAGATCACATTTTAAGCCATGTAAGGAATGAAGGAAAATCCTCCTGAGCCTTGCTGCAGTAGGCAGCTGGACCAGAACCAAAGCGTTGGACTGGAAGCCCTGCTCTTCTGTTTGAATTCAGGTGACTATTGTGCAGAGGCGCAACTGTCTGGTGCTCAGCGTATACCAAACAACAAGTGCTGATTCTTTTGTCTGATCTTTTAGCCTTTGAAACCTTTGGTCCTGTATTTCTCACCCATACGACTGAAGTCGAATCGCTGCTGCCTCTTCACACAGAGACACAGGAGAGGTACCATCCCAGCATGCCAGAACCTGGTGATGTTAGGTCGATTTCCAGACTGCTCTGTTTTTTTCATTCCAAAATTCCTCTCTTCTTCTTACTCTTCCCCTTTCCTCCCTCTTGCCATTCCTCTTTTTAGTTGCGCAGAGGTTGGCAGGGAGTCAGGCACGAGTCGTCAGAGGCTGATGCTTTATACTGCTGCCAACTACCCTCTGCTGGATGGTAGGAAGGGTATGGGCAAGAAAAGACGGGGGGAGGGGGGCAAGAGTGAAGGAAGACTGGAATTTGTTTTCATAGGACAAAAAAAAATGTAAATTAATGAATCAATTGGAGTGGCCAAGAAAACTTTGGGAAGCACTCAGACATATACTTACTGGCCTCTTTATTCGATACACCTTGCGTGTAATAGGCTCGACCCATTTTGCCATTAGAAATCCCTTAATTGTTAGTTGCATATTTCAGCAATGGTTCAGAAACATTCCTCAATATGTCCTCAATATTGAAATGACAGCAACACAAAGGTTTCTTAGCTCTATATCAATGATGCAAATCATCCATTCCTCCAAAAACCAAAAGGTGCTCCGTATGACAGGGATCTGGTGATTGTGGAGTCCACTGATTACAGTGAAGACAGCGTATTGTTCAAGTAGCCAGTTTTGTGAAAAGTAGCTTTAAGAGGATGATGGCTACGCTCTGGCCTTAAATAAGGCTCTGCGATTTTGCCAAGAATCAAAATTGTGATTTTCCTTTTAGGAAAATTGCGATCTCAATTCATTCTGACTTTCCTCTTCACTAACTGGCATATACTATATGTTTTGCTGCAGGAAATGTGCTTAATTCTTGTTCACATGCACAGATTTGCACATCAACTGCAACTCTCTCTTCCCTTCTGTGTGGTGGTAAACCCGCTTTTAGTGTATTACTGCCTCCTAAAGTGCTAACGTGAGGAACATAGTGTCCCTAATGTACCATTTAACCTAATACTCAGAGCTCTGTTTTTTGTAAATTTCATTTTTTAGAATTGCAAACATATTGCAAATAGGGGTGTGCAAAATAATCGTCATGACGATGCATTCTAATTTTTGTGATCTGCTGCATCGATTCTTGATGCCAAATCGATTCTTCATTAAC